TAAACCACAAATGAGCACAGACGCTGTTCATGCGAGGAGCCGAGAGCATAAGGCTTCACCTGGCAGCAGGCACATGCATACGTGAGAGATGTCACCAAACAGTAGGCACATAGCTGGACGATAGTGCACGGTTGAAGAAGCTCCACCAGAACTCACATCTTTCCACATCGTCATCAGCTACAGTAAACACGATATCCCACTTCTCCCAAGGATGTCGCCGAACTTTCATGGAAGTTGAACGGATCACCATATTACAGCGCTCATACCACAGCAACGTATTCAACAGTGTCCAGCTTTCGAAACCGTTTTTAAACGCATACTGGAGCTTGTTGAAATAGCTTGATCAAGTTGAGTTTGCGCAATGGATGGCTTATGCACCACTAGTGAATATTATCCTCAGCAAGTCAGTCGCTCGCTTTATTCGTTATCCGTGCTCAGTCAGTTTATTTATTCTGCTGTCATAAGGGAAACAATCGGGCAGTGTTTGCATATCGGACAGCCACGCTGTCCTCGCATCCTCTCCGGCTAAGGCTGGCTTTATTCAAAGCCACTTGGATATATATTTTGTTTGCCTCGACCCCAGCCACGATTAAATAAGCAACTGGCGTCTGGACATTCCAAGCCAATGTAAACGATTTATGGGCCGACTCCGCGGCCGGGCAGACGGACGACACTCATAAGGACGCGCCGCCAGCACCGATGATGTCATTTCGGACAGCGTTCGTTCAAGTGGACGTTCCAATGATATGAGATCATATCTGAAAGGCGCTTCCTGCCGGCAGATAGTGCAAAACTTGAAATGCAATGAAAAGCTTCTACTTAATCATCTGCTTCATCTAGGCAACAGTGACATTTCTGGCGTAATTGATTAAAGGATGCTTGGTGGACCTCCCAAGGGTCTCTCGATGACTTTTTAAGAAAATAGTGACCGGGGAAAGAACGCCCGCCAATTTCAATGCGCAGATAAAGCTTCAACACGAACATCGGTTCGGGATTTTTCAAATGCAAACTTAAAGGGAATGCTTCGCATTTGGAAATATTCAGGTAAGCATCAGGTGTTATGAAATAAGCTCACTTAAAACTATTGGTATACTTCTAAGTGGAAAAGATCACACTACACAACACAACTCTCTGTTTAGTAAATATACTCCCAATACGATATGGTTACATTACGTCATCGTAGCTTGCACAACATTGATTCACGGCCAATTGACGGGCGTTATATCTGGAAATCGTGCTCACGAAAGCCAGATATGAACGAGTCAACCATTGTATTTTTATTGGTCTTGATCGCTGCATGGCTAATGAAATACCAGAATTTCAAAGGCATTATAATGACGCCATGGATGCTTGGGTGACCTTGAAATAGTCCCTTCTAAAGAGTCTGCACATCTTCGCGGGCGTGTAGCGGATCACAGAAACCAGAGCGGTTAGGTCTTAAGAAGTGCCGGACCGTGAACTGCATCGAATGGTCTCTAACATGGCTATTTCACCCAAAAAACCATACAATTGTGCAACATTCCCTTTAACTTCGGCTTTAGAGACGTTTCGTTCACTAGGAACCGGCCTGGCTCTCGTATATACTCCTGTGCGAACTTAAGGTTTCAAAGCATATATGGACAGGATTGTATTACAAATAGCACTGATCGTGAGCCCGTGCCCGTTTCCTATGATTTTGAAAACGGTGTTGTATGATGGTACACATGAGACATGTTAAAAATATATTCACCATAAGCCTAAAGAATATGCAAACGCATGACCACGAGATAACCACGTAGCGGCGTGGCGGCAAGGCTTTGGGAACAAAGAACCTAAACAGAGTCGAGGTCTGAATAATGGTGAAATGAGGCCGCGTTGATGGTTTACTTAGCATCCGAA